AATTTATATTCTTTCTATTAATAAAATATTAAGTATTTTTTAATTTATAAATTTATTATCTAGTCAATTATAATAAAAATAAATTGCCAACACCGAAGATGAAGAATTAAATTAATGTTCATCAAAAATTCAAGAAGATAGAAAGTTTTGGCCATATTTTGATATAATAGTGCTCTTATTTGAGTTCATACAATTTATAGGCCATGATCTATTTTAAAATTTATTACTATCGCTATCATTAATTTCTGAAGGGATATAATGGAGCAATTGATGAGACACATTCTAGTAGTAGTACCAATCAATCAACACTTTTAAATTATCTATAAGCGACTGTATCAATTGATAAAAAATTTAATATCTGTGATAAAAAATTAATTTATCGGATAGACAAAAATAATGGCGTTGATCACAGCTAAGTATAGTTGATTATATATATCAACTAATTGATAATTGAGGGAGTTAGATGCATTTATGATTAAATTGTTAAGTCAATATGGAAAGCTAGGTAGCATGTGCAATGCATGAACAAATTTTGAATTAAAATTTTCGTTTTTAATATGTATATTACTACCTATAAAAACAAAAGAAATATGGTACATAGGTAGAGGGTATTATTTTGCTTCTTTTTTCCGTGGAAACATTGTGGGGAGACATTTGGAGGCCAAATAAGGAGGCGATTTGGGAAAACAGACGCCTCACAGAGTCTAAAAGGAGAGCAATCAAATGAGGCCGTCCAAATCTAGACAATTGAAACGACGTCGTTCGAAGCATGCAACTCAATGGACGCTGAAACGACGCCGTTTTCTTAGAACGAAAACCACAAGCTCTAGGACTTTTGGTTTCCGAGAAGTAGAGGGAAGCAGGATGGTGACGGCGGTGAAAAGGGAAAGCCAGAGGAGGTTGACGCCAGAAAACTGGAGGGAGTTTCGGGATTCAATCAGTTCTGGCGATACAGTGATTTTATGTGGATTCCCAGCGCGCAATAGAAGAGGCCGAGCGCAGTTGTGAGCGGGGTGGATCAGAGAGTGAGAAGGGAGCAGAGACGAAGGGAAGAGATTGAAAGTAGTTGGCCCAAATTTTAGGTATTTGTTTAATTTCTTTGAATTTCGTAATTCCAGTAGGTTCATGTTAATTTTCTTGTAATTATGCATTGTGGTTATCTGGAATATGATGAATCTACGTGTGAATTTAAATTGAGTATTTTCCATGAATCTGTGTTTTAATGCGTGGTGTTAGTTTATAAGGATCACATACCTGTTTCGAAGCTCATTTTTATTCCTCTGTGGTTCTCTAATGAATTGTTAGATGTTTTGGTTTAGGTTTATTGTATTTATTTATGTTAGTTAATCCATGTTTAGGTTCAAAGATGGATGATGTTTGAAAATTATTTACTGTTTGCAGTTGAGATTTGTTCACTGTTAGATTGTGTTAATACAGTTCAAGTATGATTTTGTTCTTTGTCTTAGATCTTTCAAGTATGATTATTGTTGGTTGCTTCTATAACAAAATATCATAGAGTAAAGAAACTCAGAAAATTGAAGCAGAAGAAGAAATTGCTTCTTTATTTTTTTATTCTGGAGATATAGCTCTCCTAACACCTTTATATACAAAACAAAATACTAAAGCTACCTGTCAGTTCATTTAAAACTAAAACTACCTGCCAGCTCATCTAACTAATTTGACAACAGCTGACACAGCATAACAATTCTACATCTCCCCTTCAAGTTGGAGCTCGATGAAGATCAATCAAGCCCAACTTGGTAGTGAATTGATGGAACAAAGGAGCAGCTAATGACTTTGTAAACAAGTCTGCAACTTGCTGCTTCAAAGGAATATGTTGTGGTTTAATGAAGCCTTGTTTATATTTGGTCTCGAATTAGATGGCAATCGCTTTCAATTCATGAAATACAAGATTGATAGTAATATGCAAAGCTGCCCGGTTATAACACCAAAAAGAAATAGAAGTTAGAATCTTGACACTAAAATCCTGCACTAAAGCTGTGATCCACTGCAACTCACATATAGTTGCTGCCATAATGCGATACTATGCCCTTTTGAGGGACATCTTTTTAGATAACGAACCACATGTAGTGCAGCATCCTAATGTTGTTGCCTGAGACCATTAACAAATTGACTAAGCTACTGTACTGCATAAGAAATGTCAAGCCTGGTAAAACCTAAATAGAGCAATCTGCCTACAAGACGCCTATAAGAATCTGGTTTTGAAAGGAATGAGCTGCCATCATCTTGAGAAAATTTAATTCCTTTTGGCAATGAAGTGACAATAGATTTTGCACTTACAACTCCAGTATCCATTATAATATCCAATGTATACTTTCTCTGGTTAATGTACATACCAGAGGATGAACAAGCCATCTTAAGGCCCAAAAAATATTTAACATACCTAAGTCCTTGGTAATGAATTTTTTACGCAAAAATTATTTGACAGCGATGATTTCATGTTCTTGAGTTCCAGCAACTAGTACATCATCAACATAAACTAGTAACATAAAAAATGAGTTACTGATAGTTCTTGTAAACAAACAAAATCATTTACTGATTGCTTAAAGCCATATTGCTATAACTATGTAGTCCTCATACCATTACCTAGAAGCTTGTTTTAATCCATACAAAGACCTTTTAAGTTTGCGTACCTGTCCAGACTTGACTTTAGTGTATTCATCAGGAGGTACCATATATAAGTCCTCATCTATGAAGTTATGCAAAAAGAAGTTATTGATATCCAGTTGATGTAAAGGCTAAGATTGAGCAGCAACTATAGCAAAAAATATTCTCACTGTCACTAGTTTTGCACCAGGTGAAAAACTGTTTATGTAGTCAATTTCAGCCAACTGATTATATCCTTTGCCACCAACCTAACTTTATATCTATCAACTTCTGTCTGGCTTCAATTTCACTTTGTGTACCCATTTAGAACCAATTGGCCTTTTATGAGCAGGTAAATTCTATTAATTCCCAAGTATTATTTTCTTCCAATGCTGTCAGCTTTTGGTTCATAGCTTCATTCCATTCTGCACGGTTCTTCGCTTAATTGTAAGTAGCAGGTTCTTTTACAACAGTGATATTGGCCAAAAAGTCATCATATGTAGGTGAGAAACAAGTATTAGTAGTATATGGAAAAGTGTTAGGAGTATAAAGTGTAGGTAACATTGTAGAAGAAGAAGACTGAACTTATTTAGCAGAAGAAAAAGAAGCATAAGGAGCAACATTAGACACATAATCATTCAACTAAACTGGTTTTGACCTTATTCGAGTACTATGTCTAACCTGGACAGATTCAGTAGAAAGAGAAGATATAGGAGATGATGTGTGTAATGGAGATGGAACATGAGGTACTAATTGATGACTATTAAGTTGAGCATTATCTTGAACATTAATCTCATGATCCAAGGTAAGAGGAATAGATGGTATAGGAACAAAAACAATGGAAGAAGACAGAGAAACAAAAGGAAACTTTGTTTCATAAAAAACATCTTTAGAGGTAAAGATTTGTTTGGAATGTAAATCATAAAGTTTGTATGCCTTCTACCAAGTTGAATATCAAATGAAAACATATTTGAAAGATTTGGTTTCAAATTTATCTTTATGTGGATATGTGTTAGTAGAATAACATAAACATCTAAAACATTTTAAGCATGTGGAATTTGGTACATGATCAAAAAGAAATTCATGGGGGTGATTTCTAGTATAAAATTTGACTTGAGAATTTATTAATAAGATAAGTAGCAGTAAGTATTGAATCACTAAAAAATGTCTTGGTAAAAATGAATGAAACATGAGAGCTATAGCTACTTGAAGTAAATGTCTATACTTTCTTTCCACAACTCTATTTTGTTGTGGAGTGTAAACACAACTTTTTTGATGCAATATGCCATTATGATGAAATAAAGCTTGACAATTTTGACTAAGAAATTCTAAACCATTATCAGTTCTGATTTATTGAACTAAAGCATTAAATTGTGTTTTTACCATTTTTTAAAAAATATCTAAAAGTCCAATAGTTTGTGATTTATGATGCATGAGATAAGTCCAAGTAGCTCTTCTATAGTCATTCACAATTGTCAAGAAATAATGGGCACCAGTAGTTATAGATTGTTTATAAGGTCCCCAAATATTTATGTGAACAAGATGGAATGACTTAACAAAATAAATAATACTAGGAGTAAACAGTAATCGACTTTGTTTAGAAAAGAAACAAGTATCACAGATTTTATTATCAGAAAATTGAAAGGATACAAAAGGTAGATGTTTGAGTACAATGGAAGATGAATGACCTAATTTGTGATGCCAATGAGAAAAGGAATTAATTGAGGTATTATTTTTAAAACAGGTCTCGGTGTTTACATAAGTCAAAGTGGAAAAAGGAATGGTTTGCACTTCTTGTACCAATGACATAGTGTAGAACTTGATAGTATTTGAATGAAATGACCTATGATCTAAAATGTATAACCTTGCAACCACTTTTCCAACTGCTAATACTTGATTAGTTTTCAGCTCTTGCAATATGCAAAAGTTAGGATAGAAAACAAATTTGATTAAGGCTGCAACAGATAATTTATTTATGGACAAAAGGTTAAATTTGAAGATAGGAATATGGAGAACATCTGTTAAAATAAGATTAAGATTCAGTTGTACATCACCTATGTGATGAACAAACTTAATAGAAACATCAGGTAAACATATTAATGTAGATTTAATAGTCTAGGTGGGTGAATGAATTAGTGTAATATCTACACACATATAACTAGATGCCTCTGTGTCTATTATCCAAGTACCTATTTCTAAACAATCAATTGAATTCAGTGCATGTAAAACAACAGAACCTGCAAAATCCTTGAAATGAGCAAAATTGACATTGTCAGCTTGGACATTTTTGTTCTTCATGAACTTACTGAACTCCTCTTGGATCATGTCACTCAACTTTGTTCCCCAATTATCATTCATTGCATTATGTTGCTTCTCATCATATAATGGAGTATCAACTGCATTTGCATAACGTTTCTCAGTTATTTGTGATTTTTGTTCCTTCATCTCATTATACCAATCAGGATAACCGTGTAACTTGAAAGAAGATTGTCTCTAATGTCCATCTTGATTACAATAGCTACAATGCATGTCTGTCTTTTTCCTTAATGAACGTCGTCCTCCTCTTCCGCCTCTATGGCTTTGACTGGAATGCTGTTGCCCAAAAGAAGTACCTCTTCCAGCAACTTGATTTTTTGCCAACATTGCATTGTGTTCAGTTTTTTCAGTAAACATATTGTGCACATCTCTTTGTCTTTCTACCCTCAAGATCATAGAATAGGCCTTGTTTACTGTTGGCAGAGGATCTATTACCAAGATCTGATTTCTCACATAATTAAAGGAATCACTGAGTCCCATGAGAAATTGAATTAGTCTAGTAGATGCAGTCATATCAACAACTGCTGATGTTGAAAGAAGATTAAAGAACAAATCTGACATATTATTATTTAATTTTTGTGATTTTTTTATAACAGTCCTAGTTTTTTTTTTAAAAAAAAAACTCATAAAGGTAGTTTATGACTATCGACTACAAATATGATGAGAAAGCACTCTCAACATGAAAGTTA